GCATTTCTGCCTCCAAAATGTCAACATCACAGCGGCGTCAGGTGCAGGGAGGCTGCGGTTCCTCTACGTCCCCCAACAGAGCGCGGGCCGCGGAGTCCCGGGCGGACGTCCCGGAGACGCGAGCCCGGGCCCAGCCGCTTCCCCGGGCACCCCGAGGCCCCGCGCGGTCTCCGCGTGTCGCCCGAAGCCCAGTGCCGGGTCCGCGCGGCCGCGGGCACACACGGGAGGCGCGGGCTCCGGGGCGCCGGAGAGCATCCAACCGAGGACCAGCGAGCCCGGGCGGGGGCCGGCGCGGCGGAAACGTGCCGGGCGGCGTTCCAGCGCCGCGGGGGGCTGGGCGCGCGGCTGCGGCTTCGGGAGCTGCTCTCCACGGAGGATCCCAGACACAAGTGTTCACGCAGATGCCCGATTTAAGGCAAGTCTGGGGGCGCTGGGTGACCCCTCGGCGCCGAGCCGTCCGGGCAGGACGAGGCGGGGCTCGCGATCGGACCCTCGAACGGTCAGGCGGCGGCGCGGACACCCAAGAGGGGGCCGCAGCCGGCGCCGCCGCCCTGTCGCGCATGCGCGAGGCCTCCCAGCGGGCGCGGGGGCCTAGGCCCGGTCTCCCACTGCGCATGCGCGCGCTCGGGACGCGCGGGGCCTGGGACGGGCGTTGTGCCGGTTGCTGGCGGCTGCCGGGCCGCTATCCTTGCTGTGGCGAGGCGGTGGCCCAGGAGGCGGCAGGACGGCCAGGACCAGCGTGAGAGCCCTGGGTACGGCCCGCCAGGTGAGCAGGCAGGCGCCGTCCGCCGGTTCCGGGCCGCTGGGCTGTGCTGGACGCCGCGTGACGCCATCCGCCTGCGCCGGCCGCAGGGGAGCGCGGGAGCGCCGACTTGGTCCCCACGGTGAGGCCGGCCGCCCCTGGGCCGAGCTGCCCGCCGCGCCCCCCTGCTGGGCGCCCCCCTGCTGGGCGCCCCCCTGCTGGGCGCCCCCTCGGTCTCCAGGCTCCTGCTCTTCTCCCCGCGACCGCTTCCACCCAGTTCTTGCGGAATTCCCGCTGTTTCCCGGATGCCCGCGACCCTGGGACCACGGAACCGGGACCCCAGCCCCCTGGCTCGGCTGGGTAGAGAGCTGGGCTTTGAGATTTGCGCCTGCGGCGGGTCCCCTCGCGAACCAGCCTTGAGGCTCCGCGTGCCCGCCCGTTTCCGCGTGGGCTCGGCGGCATTCGGCTTTCTCCACCTCCCAGATAGTGTTGCAGACTGTTGTTTGTTCAGCGCGATTACAGGCGTGAGCCACGGTGCCTGGCCTAGCCGTTTGCCCTGGAGTTAAAAGCCCCGCCGGGCGCGGTGGCTCCCGTCTGTAACCCCGGCGCTTTGGGAGGCCGAGGCGGGCGGATCACAAGGTCAGGAGTTTGAGACCAGCCTGGCCGATATGGTAAAGCCCCGGCTCTACTGGAAATACAGAAGTTAGTCGGGCGCGGTAGCGGGCGCTCGTAGTCCCAGCCGCTCGGGAGGCTGAGGCAGGAGAGTCGCTTGAACCCAGGAGTCGGAGGTTGCAGTGAGCCGAGGTCACGCCACTGCATTCCGGCCTGGGTGACAGGAGACTCCGCCTCACCAAGCAAAACACCCAACAGGTCTCTCATGGAAGCTTACGTTGCGGAGGTTTCCATGCGGTCATCTTTGACTCAGCGAGCTGCCTGCACTGTCCTTGGTCCTGTAGAGATTATACGCTGTGCAAGGAGGAACCAGACAGTCAGCAGGTACTAGGCATGTTCGGCAAAGGAAGCAGAATAAAGGAAGTAGAAAATGAAGAAAGGAAATGGAGGAGGGAAAAACGCTGTTATTTGTTGTTTTAGGTGGGGCGGTCAGGCCCCTGCAGAAAGTGAGGGATTGAGATGAGCTTGCTGGGAACGTGGATTAGAAAGTGCCCTGCCCTAGGGTAGCTGCAGCCTTGTGTTCTGTGTGAGCAGCAGGAAGAGGCTAGTGATAGGCAGTGAGGCCAGGAAACGCAGGGCCTCATAGGGCTGCTGAGGTTGCACCTGTGTGCTGTGTGTGAGGCCATGGGACCCAGGTAAGGTGGGTCAACTGTATTCGTGGTCTGACTGGGAAGAGGACAACAGCACTTTGCCCTGTTTAAGGGGGTTTGTGTTTTTCCCACTTCTACGTCTTGGCTTTGCATACACAAAAGCTAATCTACCAAGATTCTCTACTGTGCGCTGTGGACTGACTTGCAGAAAACTCCAAGAAGGAATGGTAGACTCCTGTCTCGGTGTTTATATTTGCCGTGAGAACGACATCTGATTTAACCAGGCTGAATCACAAAAGGGCTAAATTGTGAACTAAGGCAAAGGAATTGGATGTTTTATCAAGTTTTGGAACCCTAAAGATTCATACTTGGTACCTTCAGGGCTGTAGGCTACCTGGTGTGTACCAGCCACCAGCACCGGTGCCACACTGTCTTTGCGGTGGTCCTGGAAGAGCCCTGGAAGATTGGGGAAGCAGGGTTCTGGCTGCACACCTTCAGCTGACAGCTATCTTCAGGCACTCGTTACCTCTCCATTTCTACTTTCTCAGGTGGGCAATGGGGATCAAGTGAGGTGAGTAAGAAGCACCTCGCAGCCTACAGTGCGCAGTGTGACTTCCTGTAGGTTTCCTGTGGACCCACACCGTGGGTTCCAAACCCCCATCCCAGCAGCATGCATTCCTGGCAGCATGCATTCCTGGCATCCTTCGAGTTTACTTACTCACTCTGGCAGGTACTGTGTGCCGTTGGTGCTGGAATGACTTGCTGCAGTGGATAGATATCGTTCACCACACAGAAGCCTTAGTTGGCTC